ATATTATAAGAATAGATTAATATAGAATAGATTTATTTATAGAAACCAGTGGACCTACACATAATATTATTATCGAGGTTGTGCCATATGTTTGTTTTTAGCATACCTTTATTTTACTAAAGAATCGTGAGAAAATCGTGATCTTTATTTTAAGCAAAAAAAAATTGCGATTCTCATTTTAGCCAGAATCGTGCAGCTCTAGTGTAACCTCAAAGCATTTACTGGGGCGCTGGCGATTTTTACTGGGGCACGTGCCCAAGTAAATAGGGTTAAGCGACGCCCCTGGGTGATGTTTATGTGTACATGTTTATTAAATTGTATTTGTACATTAAGTATTTGTGTTTTCCTTGACGATGAAAGTCTCTCAGTCTGAATTACAGCAGACATACTCTGATCAATCCATTGGTTTGAGTGTGTGGCTGTGGATTTGCTGTGTACTGACCTTGAGAGAGGACTGCACGGCTGACTCAGGTGGATAAACGATGAAGTGACGGAGCGTGAAGCCGAAGCCGTGAGAGGTGCGGCGGAGGTGTAAAGTTTTAGGGCCCGGCCATGAGAAGGGCTCCTCTTCAGCGGCAGGAGACAGAGCCGATGCCTCACTGCGCTCACAGCCATCCTTGTGTTTGGCCTGAGAAGAGAACAAAAAGCTCATCGTTAGTTATTCAGATTCACTTACACAAAGAGGCAGTGTATTTATTCCAGAGGCAATACATAGAAGAAACTGAGGTTATGCTTGATGGCTCAAGGGCCCCACATTTATCCTATAACTCAACAGACAATTAATCAGTATTTACAACCTCCAAACTACAAAACATTATTTTAAATAATGTGGTATCAATCAGGGTACTGTAACGAAGGGGCTGACACAGAGGGATCCATTTGAAGTAAATGTATTAAACACAGTTTAATAAACACAAGCACACAGATGTAATGTGTGTGCGAACTCACAAACACAATAGTGTTACGTTGACGGATCAACGGCAGGTAATCACAGTATGAATGTTCAGGCATGAGTCAGTGTCCAGGCTAGAGTTCAAGGCAGGCGGCTAGAATCAGAGTCGGTAATCAGGCTGAGGTACAAGGCAGGCGGCTGACAGGACGAGGTCGGAGAACAAGGCAAGGTAAGCAACGGGAAGCAGGCAGTGTAGAGAAATGCTCAGTAGAGTTAGCTGGTGGCAGAACAAGACTTCGCAATGACTGAGTGTGTGTGTGCTGCTTATAAGCATGAGCGTGGGTGATTAACTGGATGCGCTTCAGGTGTGTAGGCTATCAGTGTAAGTGGATGACGTAATGGTTAAAAGTCCGGGGATGGTGACCTCTGCTGGCCAGCGAGGGGAATGACTGGGACCGAGTCGGTGACAGGTACACATCCTGCACATTTTAACCACTAAAATTTCATGACTTTTCCAAGACTTTCAAGTAAATTGTCATCACATAATGTTTCATGCAGTTTCTACATATGAGTGATAAAAGAAAAACAATCCATGTTCAAATTTATTCCAGCATATCGTAAAAAAACATGCAACAATCTATTTTATAGAGTTTAAATTTATACTTATATCTATGTAAAATTTCTTTAGATAATGCTTACACCACACTAATAATGTGAGAGTATGTAATTGGCCAAGAAGAGAAAATAAGTAAATAACCTATATTCAAATATCCGTGTTCCATGATTTTTCCGAAACTGTTTTTCTGTTTTTCCAAACTTTATGTCAAAGTTTCATGACTTTTCCAGGTTTTCCATAGGAACCCTGATCAATGAAAGCTTTAGCTATAGTTCTACCAGGAAGACTAAGATGTCACGTCATTCATAATAATGATCTCATCAGCCTATAACAACCAAGCAAGCCATATACATAAGCCCATCCAAACAAACTGTTTCGCTGTACTCAGGTGACGTTGCGGACATTTTCCCTCCATCCACCCCATCACCACTACCCCCAGGTCTGCCTCGTCTCCACTCAGGGGGTTGGCTTTGCCCTGCCTTCATCTTCAGGCAGGATATGCCAGCTTAACCAGAGTTCTGCTCTATAGACGGGGCTTACGCCAAAGAACTCTATGAAAGGACCGTAACGAATTCGCATTCATGCAAACAGTTCACAATAAATGTTCAAACGTTTACCTGCCTCCTAAAGTATTTCTGGTAAAAATAGGCAGTATATTATATTAGTACATTAAAATATAATATTTTAATATGTGGTATAGATCAATTTAAGCATTTTTTTACATTAATACTTTTACATTGTAACAAATAAAAACAATTAATCATTTTGGCTAATACAATCTTGTATAGAAATTTAACAAATCATAAAAATACATCATAAATCAACTTTTTTTTCCCAATATAAACGCCATACTTAGCCCTAAAATAAAATTCATTCATTCATTTCCTTACTCATCCAGCATATGTTTTACGCAGCGGTTGCAATTCCAGCTACAACCCATTACTGGGAAGCATAATATATATATACATATATATATATATATATATATATATATATATATATATATATATATATATATATATATATATATATATATATATATATATATATATATATATAATAAAAGATGAAATAATTAAATTAAATTAAATTAAAAATAAAATTAAATTAAATAAACACCTGAAATAGGATGGTATGAAAGCAACTTTAAAATATGTTCAATAGTCTTTACTATTTACTAACATTAAATAAGAATCAGTTCATCTTTCCTGTAATGAAATCTGAAAATTACAGCATTAATCAACTTTCTCCAATATAAATGCCATACCTATCCATAAAACAAAATAAAATAAAATTAAATAATCGTTATATAGTTTACTATTCTGAAAGTACAGTATTCCAATACACTTTAACACTGTTCATTTGTTTACCTATGATGGAATGCACTCGTATCATACTGGCACTCTAATTTATGTACTTGTATGTATGTTGTATAATAATGTTGTTTATAAAAAAAATGTTGTAGATCTTTAAACAAACATTCTTAATATGTTTGACCAAAACCAGACATGGCACCCAGTAAAAGCACAAAAAGAACGGGAAAGCTCCCTGTTCCACAAAGCACTCTCTGTCCCAAAGCAGCAGAAACAGATTTGCCTTTTTAACCTGGTACATTCAGTCTCCTGCTGTTCTAAATGATTTTCTCATGCGCTGAACTGTATTATTATGAACTGAACTGAACATGATGTGAAGATAAACTAGTTCTTATGAACAAACCATGAGACCCAAAACACAAGCTACAACTGAGGAACCAAACCAAAGTTCACTAAAGCCGAGGTGATTCCTCTAGCACTAGAGTCAAAACAGCATCAATAAAATATGACTGAGTGACTCCGTGATTAGCACTGAGAAGGTTGCTGGTTGAGTCCTGGCTGGACCAGTTGGCATTTCTGTGTGGAGTTTGCATGTTCTCCCCATGTTTAATGACATTAAGTGAATGCTTTACTACACCATCAACAAATGGATTTGCTCCAAATCCTCCAAATCCCAGCGTCAGCGCATTCAGAATTAACAACTTGTTTGCAAAAGCCGCTAAACGCCACTTGCCTTCAACAGCAGAAGCTGCTATATCCCGAGAACCAATCAGAAGGCGCGAATCGAATCATATGTTTTCAATGTAGCAGCTTTTATAAAGAGACATATTCCACTTTCGATTTTAAAAGACAGAGTTTGATGAACTGGATGAGCCTGTTGAACTGTCAGTGAATGGCAAATGAAAATGTCCCTTACCTCAAAACTCTGTGCATTATAAAAAAAAGAAAACACAATGTGCAGTCGGAAGTGTAACATGCATTCATAATGTTTGTTTGCACAGCGGTGCCACTTAGAATAAGTCCGACGGCAACTGCATTTCACGAATGACAGAGTTAAGATGCTGTTCTTTTATCCACCGCGGATGCTCTGAGGATAAACAGGAGACCAAGACCTTAAGTATGGTGAGAATAAATGAATGACAGCTTCTAAAAGTGTCTGAGAGGCATCCCCTTTTCCTACCTTGTGTTTTATTTGCTAATTTAGGTTATTTTTCAAAGATAAATATAATGTATAAAACTGCATTATTTATATTACTTCATACCTATACGTAGTATTGTTATTGGACAATGCACAGATATTGATGTTTCATATCGTTTTTACACTACATTATTTGAATCTACCAAGCTTAGCTTACAATGTTTGCAATGTTTACATTGCTAAGATTTAATTAATGTCAGTTTTTATGTTATTGATTAATGCACTACAGATTGATTACAGATTTCATTCATTCATTTATTTTCCTTCTGCCTTTTCACTAGTTTATCGCAGTGGAATGAACCGCCACTTACTTGGCAGATTTATGCATTTTAAATTTCAGGTGGTTTGTGTAATTTGATTTATGTTTGGTAAAATAACTTTTAATGGCATCTTGATTTTCAACTTATTACACTGTCTTGTCCCAATAAGTGGATTTAGAGGGTTTTGCATAAAAAGCAGATGTGGATTTTGCTGGTTTTGGCGCAAAAGGAAATTTACCTAGTGAAAAATCAAAGAATTGTCTAAAGTTATATTTTTGAAAAAAAAAAAGAAAAAAAAAGTATTTTATTTAATAGCTTATAACCCTATCATTACCTATAACATTTCTGAACCTTATCAGAGGAGCCTGAAAGAAAATGCTTATTTACAAAAAAGGAGTCTAATGGATTTAGAGGTTTTTGCATCTGAACTCTTCATTTATGTGTGTGTATGTGTATATATATATATATATATATATATATATATATATATATATAGTTGAAGTCAGAATTATTAGCCCCGCTGAATTACTTCTGTTTAAGGGAGAGAAGATTTTTTCAGCAAATTTCTAAACATAATAGTTTTAATAACTCATTTCTAATAACTGATTTATTTTATATTTGCCATGATGACAGTAAATACTATTTGACTAGATATTTTTCAAGACACTTCTATACATCTTAAAGTGACATTTAAAGGCTTAACTAGGTTCATGGTTTCCGCTATATTCATTCTTCCATGGCGGGGCCACAGCTACATTACAGCTTCTCATTCAAAACATTTTATTTTTTTAATAGCGGGTAATAATCGCACCAAAACATATTAAAAGGTAAGTGAATTATAACAGGGCAAACCTTTTTTTTTTTTAACCCTAGTAGCGCTGTGCGTAATTTATTTAACCCTTTAAGGTTACGTGCTGAATTACTGACAGGTGCGTGATGTGTGAGGCCAGCCAATCAAACCAAATCAAATCACTTTTATCGTCACATCATCAGCAGCACATGTGTGATGATGAGTGAAAAGATTAGGTGCTGGCTCCAGACAGTACAAAATACAGAGTGCAAACACAACGACAGTGCAAAATAATCCCACAACATACTCCCAAAAAAAAAACAAACAAACAAAAAAAAAGTACATATATTATTACATAAACGTACATACATATTACATATATATTCACTTTACTTCAGGACGCATTAATATCGCTCTGTAGGTCTTTTAGAGGTATTCATAAATACTCCTAGCAAATCTAATAAATGCTGGAGACATACTCGTTACATAAACGCACTAAATCGCACTTCAGCAGCGTTTATTTGAGAGCGCACAAGAAGATCTGCACGCTCTTGAAGCG